TTTTTTCTGAAAAGGTGGTGTCTATTTACTTGTGACCATGCTGTGTAGAGCAAATGTAACAATTCTCAACTTAGGAGTTTTTATATTACCTTATAAAGTTAACAACTTAAACTTGTATAATATTAAAGTTTGACTTATTAAATATGTTTGCCCCAAAGGATCAACGAACTCCATGAAGTGAAAGGAAGATCCAACCACCAATCTGATTGATAATGTATCACCAACTTGATTAACATTGTAACCACCAATCTGATTGATAATATATCACCAACTTGATTAACATTGTAACTACCAATCTGATTGATAATATATCACCAACTTGATTAACATTGTTACCACCAATCTGATTGATATCCCTAACCTTCACTTCAGCCAAAATCAATTGTAATAATGAAAATTTGCAGCAATACCTTACGTGTGAAAAAAATTATTTACTGAGTAGTAAAATCACAATTATAAAGCAAAATCATGAAGGATTAGAATCAAGAATTATTTTTAGTTTGAAGCTGTAACTGTACTGCAATTTCTCTCTCTTTCTCTGTATATCCATATATGTATGGATATCATATCTCAACTAATAGGTGTTAATAAATAGCATAAATACTTGTTCTCACAAAATTATAACACTGAGAGAATAAATTTATGAACTGTTTTTTAAAAGTTAACTTAAAATTTCAAACTGCTGCCACTAATTTATTGTAAATTTTCTCTTACCCTAAAGGTGTCGCCTTTGTTACCATCATGACCATAATCAACCACCAGGCCACAACCCCCTTCTTCTTCAAGCCGTATTGCAATGTCCTGAACTAAAACTCCACTCTCTGGACTAACCTCTACATTATTTCGAGTTTCTTTAGGCTAAAACAAATGAGAGAGAGATAACAGGTTTTTACATGTATTTTTAGATCATGTATAGAAATAACACAAATTTCTTCTTAGCTGGCTTACCAATTCAAAGTACAGGGAAAACATAAGAACCCCAGAGAGGTAACATGGTTTGCAGGCAGGTCTGAAAGTTGATCCCCAATATCACTCATTGGGGGCTAAAGGTACTGCTAGATTTGGTGTCAAATGGTCAAGCAGTTTGCTAGTTAAAAGTGAAATATTTTTATACCAAAAATAATAATAAAACAGTAAAGAAAGGAGGAGAATGAATGGATTCAGCTTTCTTACAAGTTTTTCTTTTTTTATGATTTTTGTATATGTAATGTGTTGTGGAGCTTTACAAATTACTGAAGAGTAATACCTCCATCATGAAAGCAGCAAAATCTCAATATCCACAACATGCATATATAGTGATTTAAATTTGTACACCATTTCACAATTAATTAAATAAGTTGACTAGAGCACTTTAACAAGCAAGTAACAGTTTACTCAATCTGTTTTTATCTCCTTCAGATAATTCACAGGATAATGTACAATTCCTACATTTCTTATAAGATAAAATTTTTCTACAAGTTTTGTATGATACAGTTAGTTAAAACATTAAAATTTAATATAAGTAGAAATTAACTTTCATTCACTTTTACAAGTTTCATTGCCTGACTTTCTGCTTCAGTAACCATTCATCTTCCATTAAGTCCAATTTCAACCAGTTTCAGAATATGTAAAACTAAAGCACAATTGCAACTGTTTTAACACACACAAGTATGGAAAGTATTTTTATTAAATAGAATACTTGTAACTAGAAATTAAAGCTTTTATATACAGTGGCTACAAACTGAGAACAATAAAGAAAATTATAACAAGTTACATTCTGATAAGTAGTTTTTGCTGTATATACCATAATGTACTGGATACTCGGAACAAAAAATAATACTTAACTTGTTATTATAGAAGCAAGTCTACAGTGTCAATGTGAAAATTAAACTCACTGTCTGATACCAGCTATAATTCTTGAATGAACTCAAATGAGTTTTGAGATTTATTTCCAAGATTCACAACATTTACAAATCACTGTAAAACTTATAACAAAACAGTAAAGTTCCAGTTGTAAAGTTTAACGGTGACATACCATGACAGAGTACAAGCAAAGTACACTTATCTTTTTCTCCATCAAGTTGTATCTGTAACTTTTAGACAAACATTATAATAGTGGCAAAAAATACTTAAAACATGAACACATTCACAGCTCATTGCTGTTATTTATTAAAACATAAGCAAAAAAATCCATTTGATGACAATACTACATACTGATTTCACTTTCTAAATATAACAAACTATATTCAGCTGTATAAACAACACTGGATAGATTTTATCAATTAGTTATGTTCCCACTGTTTACACAGATAGAGAAAGCATGATGAAACACAGGACAGTAGATACACAGTTACATGGAATAATGTTTATATTGAACATTAAAAATAAATATTACACTTATGCTTGTTACTGTACAGATAAAAAAAAATTATAAAACCATTTTAATTTTATCAATTTAGTATACCTTTCAAACTTTCTCTTCGTTTTATGATGTGCACAAACAAAGTAAAATGCAGCGTACACAAGTACTAAGTTTCTGTTAAGTCAAGGCAGTTCAGTTTTTTGACTGGTGTATAACTACTAATTGTGTAAATAAACACTTATTGTTACAGTATGTAACTATCTTACCAATATTTTTTAATTAAAAAAGGTAGTCTGTATAAAATATTATAATGTCACATTTTAGGTAAACATCAACATCTGTTTTTTTCAACAACCAAGTGATGGAAACATGTGTTGAAACTCCTACTTCTTTTATTAATGTCAACAAGATTTGTTATAAACTCATCCAGAACACAGCACTTGTTCTCTTCATAAGTGAAGAAACAGCAGCTGTTCATTTTAATACAGTTATGTTGATCAAAAGTATTTAAACTATGTTTGAATAAAACATTCATCTAATTACACACAGAAAGTCTGATAGGATTTCTGAGAGTTAATTATTGAATTAGGCTTTTATTTTCTTAAAATATTTGCAGCATATGTTATTTTACTATGATCCACAATAAAAAAAATAAAAAACTGAATAATTCTGTTGCGAAGTTATGAAAATTTTGCTATTGGAATAGGCCAAATATCATACCTCAAAAAAAAAAACAACAACAACTGGATTGATTCCTGCCTGAAATCAAAGGTTTATCACTCTTAAGTCATAGCTTTAGTGAATTAAACTAGCATACTGTGCCTGGAAACAAAACAATAAGAATATTAATCATGTCACCGACTTGTTGAAATACAGTGGTTATATTAAGTTTTTATTTAAAAACACACACTTAAACAAGCAACAGTCCCAAAACTCATTTTATACAATCCCATACATACAAGTTAAATAAGCTGGTTAGCTTGATTGAGTAGTCTCCTAGAAACCTGAAAGATAGCTCTTTGTGTTATGCTCATATTTGTCCAAAAGATAAAAGGGAAAGGGTGATCTAAGAAAAACCTGGAATTGCCTGTAAATCAGATAATGAAAACTGAAATTCATGTTATATTAACAAAATAAAAAGAATATTAAAGTCTTGCCCTAAAAAATGAAATAGCTGTCAGGAAAAAACAAAAGATTTATATTCTGTCTTTACTGATCATGTTTGTTTGCATATGCAGAAGATGTAGAAACCTTAAAATTCTGAATCCATTTTCTATAAGAGGTATATTACGATTGGATATAGTATAAAATTTATAAAATACCTTGTTAAACTACAATTCAGACCACCACCACTATATAAGCCATTAATGTCTTAGTTTTAGGATGCAACACTACTTGATTAGTTATAAGTGTTATACAGATCAGTAATGCCAGGCCTTCAAAAACAGCATTCAGTGATTGAAATATAATAATGTGCCTGATTTTTTTTACATCATGCAGCAGACTTACTAACTTCAAGTCCTAAGTGTGTTGGACACACTCAGGAAATGTTTACAAGAGCTTCACACTAATATATACACACCATATCCAACATCTACCAATGTACTGAGAATATAGTTATGCATGTAGACTAACTTCAAGTCCTAAGTGTGTTGGACACACTCAGGAAATGTTTACAAGAGCTTCACACTAATATATACACACCATATCCAACATCTACCAATGTACTGAGAATATAGTTATGCATGTAGACATGGATAACGTAAAAAATGTTTAACGATTCACTTATACACAATACTGAACATATACAATCAACAAATCTCAGAGATAAATCTTACTGGTGAATATACAGATACATGCTTCCAACTTGCAAGTTATTTTCAAACCTTTTTTTTGCTGTTAACTCTTTCTATACAAGTACCCTTTTCTGCATAAGTCATGATGTTTTACTGAGTTACATTCAAAATTTAATTAAACTACATTATTTTCATGATATGTGAATAAACTTGGCATCAAAAACGTAGTTAATAAGTCAAATTTAATATTATACAAGTTTAAGTTGTTAACTTTATAAGGTAATATAAAAAACTCCTAATTTGAGAATTGTTACATTTGCTCTACACAGCATGGTCACAAATAAATAGACACCACCTTTTCAGACAAAATGAAATTTTTCAGTCATATTCACATGAATTGATAATTTACAATTCAATTAATATCTAGTAACAATGTTAATCACGTTGGTGATACATTATCAATCAGATTGGTGGTTACAATGTTAATCAAGTTGGTGATACATTATCAATCAGATTGGTGGTTACAATGTTAATCAAGTTGGTGATACATTATCAGTCAGATTGGTTACAATGTTAATCAAGTTGGTGATATATTATCAATCAGATTGGTGGTTACAATGTTAATCACGTTGGTGATACATTATCAATCAGATTGGTAGTTACAATGTTAATCAAGTTGGTGATATATTATCAATCAGATTGGTGATTACAATGTTAATCAAGTTGGTGATACATTATCAGTCAGATTGGTTACAATGTTAATCAAGTTGGTGGTACATAATCAGATTGGTAGTTACAATGTTAATCAAGTTGGTGATACATTATCAATCGGATTGGTGGTTACAATGTTAATCAAGTTGGTGATACATTATCAATCGGATTGGTG